CAAATTTGATTTGATTTGATTTGATTTGACAGCAGGGCTTATGTGCTAAAAGAAAACACGGTCTCATGGCTAAGCAGTTCCTTTACACCTGTTGCTGTCGGGCTTTGAGCAAAGTGATCATTTTTTTGACAAAAATATGAGCAGGGAATTTTAAACAGTAGTAATATTATAAAATATGTCTTCATTGGAGAAGTTATAGTGTACATTAATAAACAAAATGTTATTGTGTGTAAACTATTTATTAAAGGCTTATATAGTGCCTATAAATGCTAAATTGAAACAGAGGTTAAACTACTGGACACAAGATGGCTCCATATGTACACACTGAAAAAAATCTACTCTCACTGTATGTGAGGGTTCAAATGTCCATGTGGCCCATGCTTGGAGTCCAACAGAGTTCTGTTGGCACAAAATGAACAAATATGGACTTAGACTCAGATTTACAGTGCCACAGAGACCCTTTCACTATTCAAAAGAAAATGTAAAATATGTTATTATATACGTCAGTGATACATTTAACTGTCTACTTACATTACAGATGTTTACCATAATATCAAAGACCTGTATTATTCAGAGGACCCAAAAAAAATTGTGTCCCACAGGTGTTGTGACACAGTCATGACGTTAGTCTGTGTCAGGATGAATAAGGTGGGATAGTTTTTGGTGCATAATAATTGTTTTTGGTTTTTTTTGTGCTCGTTAGAAACGTCACTGTGAGTCACCAGCCCCTTGTAGCTCTGACTTGTTGATATCCTACATCTGAAGCCTCTAATTCATCTTGAAGGAATATACGTTTACATCCAGGAGAGCACTTAGTCAGGACTCCTCTGACTTTTCTTCTGCCACAGATGACATAGTGTGCATCCTGTTGTTGTAAGTCTGCCGTTACCAGCCGGCCACTTCGGCCTCCCCAGCCTGTTTCCTCTATCGACTGAGGCACAAGAGTGAGCATCCTGCCAGGAAAGCCCGGCTTTCGCTCTCATATCAGCTTCTCACAGATTTAGTCTTTCAGTGTGTACACTTCTTTTTCGACTTCCCAGTGCGCTGACAGTTGAAAGTATGTTTGCTAAACTGAAAACAACAACAGTTTGTTTGATGTCATTCCTTAGTGCAGATTGACCTTCGTTGCAGCTGCTCTGGTGTAAATGTAGTTAATGGCTACAGTACAATGTTACATTTCTTTCCAATAGAATCAGTTTATAATGCACAGTTATACATATACTGTATTGTGCAAGGGATAAATAACGTCTTCTGAGTGAGTTGCCTCAATCATAATAGTAGGTCCATTTTGTGAGAGTAGACACAAACAACATTAATGTGGATACAAAACGTAATCCACGTAATTAAGCTCTCATTTAGAAAAGAATAGAATTTAGAAACAGAATTCTGTGGTTATCACAGTGTATCCTGAGCTATTATCAGATTTGAGTAAAACTGGACTAAGAGAGACAGAGAGCTGTGCAGCACAGGTCTGGAAAACCTGTAATATGTTAAGAGGGTCAACACTGAGAGATATAAGCTTAGAGTCCATTAGTGGATTTTAACCATAACAACTCCATGGCTCCTGCATGTCTTGGATTAAAGAGAGAGAGAAACATTTGCCTAGGCTGCATGAAGGGGACAGGGAAGCAAGTGAACTGAACAAATTCAAAGGCAGAACACAGCAGCCAACACATACATGGACTGAGAAACACTGGGAAACAAACTGAAGTGAAGTTGGAGCGACCACAGCACCTTGGATTGGCACATTTAAGAAGATTTTGGGACACTTACAGATTATCACCTGACAGATGAAGTGACTTGCCCAAGGTAAATTTAGACACATATAAAATCTATACCACTATGCATAATTGTAATGTCAAAGATTCAGCTTTCATTAGCCAGGAAGCATTTGTTGGTGATACCCTGATGTGGTATTATGATGCAAATTTTACTGAGCATATGTCATTTCTGCTTTTGAATTTCACATTTACTTGTGTCCGGCTTCTGAGTGAATTACAGATAACGCATACTGTAAATGACGGGTTTTTCTCACTACATAGCTCTTAATGCATATGCACTGTCACCACCATCCTCATCATGACTGTTGTGTAACTTTAATTTTATTATGGCCTGAGGGATTATTTCTCTCCCTGCATGTGTGTGTATGTGTTTGTATGAGCAGGAACCATGGACATGGACATAGAGAGGATTATCCAGTGCATCAAGCAGGGGGATGAGCATGGTGTTGAGATACAATTGCAAGTGTTCAACAGACAGGTAACACAAAACTGAAGTCTGAATGATTGCTTATTACATTTGCTGAGCATTGTGGTCATCATTTCTCTCCCTGCAGTTTGCCCATTGCTTCTTTTTTGATGCAGAGGAGAGAGACCGAAAGAAAGTAAGTTGCTTTACATTACCGCACCTGTTAACTGACTAACTTTACTGTCCCACATGTCCTCCTTAAACCTCGTCTTTTCTCACCCCTCCCAGCCCGCTGCTTTATCCCTCCACAGTCTGTCAGTGATTAGTAATTCTGCTGTGTCAGTTGTGTCCCTGATCCTGTCTCCTCGCTTATACAGACTGAGCCCAGACAGAGCGAGTGAATAATCTACTGCATGTTAATCTGCTCGGTATTTTCAGTTCCGCTATTTGTAACCACTGAACAGCACATATATTTACATCTTAAGGCTAAAAGTATCTCCTCTTTACATTTTCTACACAGTATCCATCAATATTCATTCAATTTAACTTAATTTGATTACATTTTTTATTTGTTTATCTCTGCCTTAAAAACATTCTGCTATTATTTTCTCTCTCCTTTACTGTGTTGTGCACTGAAACTGGACTGTCCACCTCCTAAAGCAAAGGAAACTAGAAGAGGTATGATGCTGCCACAGTTTAGCACTAATGTTCAAATACTGATTTTGGTTGCACACCAGAGTGCCCTAAACTTATTGATAAACTAATAAAGAATGAAACATAATTCTTTGTCCTGCTGTTCCAGTTCAGGAAGAATAAAGTGAGGGAGCACACTGACTCTGACTCAGACTACGACGAGTACCACCAAGAGGATCGAGGCCTGATCCTCAGACAAGTAACCATCACCTTCTGCTTGACCAGAGTTATTGTCTTTGTTATTTGTTGTCTCTCTGAAGAATTCTGTTTAACTGTCTATTTTTCTTTTCCTGTCCTCAGAATTTAGCTATTGTGCTCATGAGGTTCATAAGAACAGGAGTTAAATGTCGTCTGTTGCGAGTATCTCTCCACACCCTGAGGATCCTGTCCAGAGACAAAAAGATCCTGGGCCCCTTGGTGACTGACCAGGCTCTGCTGACTCTGGCCAAACTAGCTGGGCTGACAACAGGGGATGCTAGTGATGAAGCCAGCGACCCTGACTCTGATTTCTACGACAACATCATTGCTTCTCTTACTGAGGCTAAAGTGTTGCAGTGTCCCGCTGATGAGGAAGCCAGTGACCAATATGAAGAGTGCACTGCCGTTGATGAGGATGCCAAGAGTGACATAAGCGGAGATCTGGACAGCTTCAGCTGTCTCAGGAGACACAGAACCAGCATCAACGAAATACACAGAGGCAGCATCCATCATAAAGTGCTGGAGCCAGGGAGGAGGGACCGCAGACAGAGCAAGATGGAGGAAGGGGAGGAGGAGGAAGAAGAGGGGGAGTCAGGAGAAGAGGCACAGAGAAAAGAGGCCATGAAGGTGTTATGTAATGTGGTGTATAACAGCACCTGGGCCCAGGAAAGGTTCAGTGCTCTCAGGTGGGCTTCTTCACAGGACGCAGATGAAACATGATCCAGTCCAAAATAGTGTTAAATGCATTTTGCATTTCTGGGCTTATTTTACTGTTAGTTTCTTATTGTTGCAGACAGTCTTAAGTTTCATACAGCTAGAATAAAATCATGTAAATCAAGCCTCATGATTCATCCATGGTAAACATCGAGCTTTGTAAACACTACACTCACTCTCTTGCACCAGCTTTTAATATTGACAGGGAAAACATGCACACACCTTTGATTGAAAGCAACAAGTTCCTGCCTGTTTTCTGAGGGTTCCTGAAGGTCACATCCCAAAGTGAGATTGAAACTGACAAGGCAGATTGCAACAAAGCTGTGAATGGCTACTCTCAGTGATAGCATTCTTCTCATTGGTCTTAACATTCGTTGAGCTTTTGTACAATAGATCAACATATTTTCAGAGAGATAACTTGAAATTTTCTCCATCAGGCTCATGTGTGGTCTCATAGAGCGTCTATCCTCCAGCGTCAGGTGCTCATCTTCCTCCAGTGTTCAGTTCTATGAACTACGCCTCATGTTCCTCATTACGGCACTACGGCCAGAGCTCAGCAATCAGCTTCAACGGGTGATATAACCACACTTACTAAAAATGTGCTGTATTAAATATGTAGCATTGCTTAAATTATAGTAGTAACAGTATATAGTGGATCATTCTGATGCAGCCATTCCCTGAGATATACCTCCATTTATGTAACATGCCACATTCAGTTATTGTAATACTGATATGAACAGATGAAGATTTCTGTACTGGCTTCACACTCCACATTTTTATCTTGCAGGAGGGAGGGGTGTCCCTGCTCACAGCAGCTTTGGAGAACTGCCTGGAGGTTCAATGGAAGGACCATAATGAGTATGTTCTGGACCCAGCAGCACCACCCATCTCTTTGGATGCCTCTCAGCGTATCATTGAGATCCTCAAAATACTCTTCAGCATCACCTACAGCACCCACAGGCAGGAGCCAAGTGACGTAAGCTAATATGATGCGTGTGATAAACCTGTCAGCCTTCAGGTGTGATAGAAAAAGCTAGAGGAAAGTGTCCATATACAGTAGGAACATCTCACATTTTTTAAACAAGTCTATTTTCTACAGCTACTCAGTATTCCTAAACTGTGTGGCTGAAACAATAAGATTGCACTGATATTTGTCACAGCTATAATTATCATAACCTCTGTCTCTCTTTGAAGAAAAACACAAAATTAAAATGCACTAAAGGACAGATATATTCCCTGTCTTGACCTCTGTTGTCTCTAAATGGTATCCCGTACACTACCAGCCCAGATTAACAGAAAACAACGACACTGTCCTTAATGTTTCTCCTGCATCAGGATGATGCAGCTATTTACCGACATCTGGTGGCCACCCTGCGTCTCTGCCTGATGAGGAAGTGCGTGTTGTTGGATGACACTGATGAACTGCAGGGGTGAGCGTGGTTGGATAGAAGGATAGAAAGGAAACTGCAGTGACAGTCGTCATTAATAACAACGATAGATGCTGCTGTTACACTTTTGCTGCTTTATATAATAATATAATATTTTCTCAATCCCACAGTCACACAGTCAACCTGTTGTCAGCGCTGCCTCTCCAGTGTCTTGACGTGCTGCTGACAGTGCCTCTGGAACCCAGTTCAGAGCAGTGCCAAGGGGTTAACATGGACTGTGTCAAAACCCTGCTGATGTTCATGGAGAGACGACTTGAGTCTGTGAGGGAGAAAATAATAGCGACAGAAGGGGATTGAATGCTTAGTGTCCAGGCTATCATTTAGGGTTTGGTCTGTTTTAGTTTCAAAGAAAAACTAGGAGGTGTTTCTTGTTTGCTTTTCAGGGTGATAAGGTCAAAGAGAAGCTGACACCAGTCCTTAATCTACTGACAGAGAGCTGCAGGGCTCACAGAGAAACACGCCACTACATCAGGAAACATGTAAAACACAATTTTTTCCAAAGCTCTTATTGCATTGTTGGATCTCATAATATTTTGATTGATGTTTGCAGCTACCATTTTGTTCACATACAAACACCTGCATTAGCAGTAACTTATCTACTTCATTAGATCCTGCCTCCTCTGAGAGATGTATCACAAAGGCCCGAAGAAGGCAACACAGTGAAGAATCGTCTGATTCGTCTCATGACTCATCTGGATACAGACCTCAAACACTGTGCCGCTGACCTCATCTTTGTCCTTTGCAAGGAAAACGGTAAAACCAAAGATGATTCGTTTCTTTGGATTAATGGGGATAGACTGAGCAATGATTGTCTGTACATCAAGTATCTGTAATCACTGATACCCTGTTATGTCAATGTGGTGTTGATGATGTTTTGTAATTACGCTATAATCAGTCTCTTATTTCCTGTATATACTGGAGCTCACATACCTTAACGAAAATCACTCCAACAGATAAATACCTTTTTGTCTCCATCAGTCATATCCTGTCACCCCCACTTCTTCTTCCAGTGAGGCGTTTTGTCAAGTACACAGGCTATGGTAATGCAGCAGGCCTGCTGGCCACCAAGGGACTGCTGGGTGGCCAGGGGCCCAGGACCTCCAGCTCTGGCCCCTGGTACTCCAGCGACTCAGACTCAGACACTGAAGAGTACCGGCAGGTCAGAGATCGCATCAACCCGGTGACGGGACGGGTGGAGGCAGAGCAGCCAAACCCCATGGAGGGTATGACAGAGGAGGAGAAGGAGGAGGAGGCGAGGAGACTGATCATGCTCTTCAATAAGCTGTCCAGGTCAGTGACACAAGTACTCATAGATATACTGTATGAAAACTCTTGTATTGGTAATGGTATTAAAGGAAGAGGTGTCTTAAACCTCTGACTGGTCTGTGTGTCAAATCTGGCTCAGTTGATCTTAATAAATACATTCTGTGACTCAGCCTGATATTTCTCCATATCATACATTATGCTCTTTTGATGTATATCCACTTAACATTTACAGAGAGGAAGCTCGATAGAGGTGACACCATCAGAAAATATAAAAAATGCTTCCAGAAATCACTGAGATCAAGTTCATTTGTTCAAATCCCCACATTTGTAACATTTTGAAGTGATTTGAGAATAAAACTCCTTCTAAGTGCCTGGTACAGGCTGAAAGCAGACCAAGATTAAATAAGCTCAATAAGAATAATGTTAATGCTGGTTAACAAATCATCCGTCTTTTGCACCTCATGTGTTTGGCAGAGATAACATTATCCAGCCAGTGGGAGTGGATTCGGAAGGGAAGCTGGTCCCAGTGTTGGGACTGAGAGGAAATTCTCTGACTGAGGAGGGGAAGTCTGAGTCAGAGAGTGACAACGACGCAGGGGAAAACTGAAATTGGTTCATTCAGTTCTATAGATTTTTGATGTTTGACAGTGCATAAATATTTGATGTAAATGTATGGACAACAGTAAAACTAAATTATGTAGTTCTCAAAAAACTTTATTTTTCTGTTGGATTCATAATAATATAGAGCACCAATAAGGCCACACTGGTTTGAGTTGAGCATGAAATTCTGAAGGAAACTACAGTAATGAAGTCTTGTGGTAGTATTCTTTGTACTGATGTTCTGTATTTCAATGTCCTGTATATTTTCATTTAGCCTTCTCTATAGCATTGCTTATAGACATTCCAAACAGCTAATAGACACAATCAAAAGTTAGCTGTGACCCTTAAATAAAAAAGATTAAATAAACATCTGCACAGTATATTCACTGTTTTCTGTATAGCCTCTGCTGTGTTGCAGGATGTAACTGTTTCAAATTGTGCTCAGGTGTATGTGCTACTCTACTGAAACTGTCTCATGTGATAGAGGATCAAAAACATTTAGATTGATTCCAGATGTTCTGGCCACATGTGTTGCTGAATCAACGTGAACTTCATCCTCCAGTGTGACTGCCCTGTGTTTATGGTTCTGGTATTGCTACAGTTCGTTTTACACACATAATACACATAGTACTTCAGTTCTGCAGGATGGATCTTTATAAAACTGAGTTACTAGATGTGGAAATTGATGGAATTCAGTCCCACTTTTATACTGTTACATTAGCATGATTACTGTAAACAAATGAAGAAATGAGGTCATCAGGATGACTGACATCCCTTGAATGGCATTTCACATTTCAGACCATCAATTCAGTTTAAAGGGAAGTCTGATGTTTTCTTTTCTTCTTTTTTATAGAAAGAAACAGGAGGAGTGCTCTTATTTCAGCACAAACATCATTTGCATAAGCAGAATGTATAATGAGTGAAAAAAGTCTTGGGCTGAGTGACAGAGCTTTTTGTTTTAGCTCAGTGTCGTGAAAGAGAATCTTGGAAATTTGGATATTCAGCACCATCAACAATCCTATCAAATTATCTCTGATCATATTCTTCTTATTTAATGTACCAACATCAAGGTGTACAGCCATTTAAAATATGGTACAATTTGTACCTTAATCTGTTTTGTACATAGCGTAGTATCAGCAAGCGCAGCACCAGTGCAACTATTAGTACCATTATTACTACCTGATTGATTTTATTTGGATTAAAATGTTCAGTATGATTATTTCTGTTTGATTACAAAAAAATAAATAGTGACTTTCTTCAGGCACAGCAAAGTGTGTCATTACATCTCCATCATCTCGTCGAGAGAAATCTGCAGCTCTACAGACTGAAGGGAGGAGGCACCGCCTTCAACAGCCATATTTTTCAGTATCTCCAGTGAAGTCAGAACAACCTGAGCCAGAGAAAACAGGGAGCAGAAATCAGATGCACTGACAAAAGCGAGAAGGAAAATTTGAGCTTGACATGAGCCATAAAGGTCGAGCAAGCTTGAACAATGAGATATGTCCAGCTGGCTTCTTTAAAAAGCAACTTTTTGTCCAAAGCTATTCATTTCTCAGGATGCATTCCTCTGTAGAGGCTTAGGGGCTGAAAAACCTTTTACACTAGAGGGATCAATTGTCACCACCAATATTCAGGCTTTGTTCTCCCCATGCTATTAATCACCAAGACTAATTTTCCCACTGAGAAGTGCTGCTGACCATAGCTCCCCTGAATGAACAACTCTGGGATTTGACCACTTGTGAAATGAAATACTGCTTTAAGACCTGTAATTTAAAGGTTCTCTCACTTCCACTGTGATGAGTTTCCTATCCCAGGATCTGTTGTCTGGGTCAGGCCATTTCTCCCCGATGCAGAAGAACAGGGAGTGGGGAGGGCTGTCGCCCCCAGCAGTGAAGTTCTTTATTCCTACAGGGACAAAACAATCCATCACTGCACATGTATTCACGGGTGCAATAAGAGAAGGCTACATAATTATTCCTTTTGCCCACCTTGCACAAAGTCCTTGAACATGTAAAGAGGTTTAGGTTCCACTTTAGGAATCTCTTTGGGCTGTCTGCTTTGGTCAAACTTGGAGAAGCTCCAAAATGCTTTAGTTTCACCCTGTCGATGGCCGTAGACTACTTGGCCTGACACCCCCACTTCCAAGCCACTGCCCAGCATGTCCAGGATGCGTTGGGTGAGATTGGCTTGGGTTTGATCCAGCATGCCTCCAGGACTTGGCAGAGAGAACAAGGACAGGCCTGAGTTGGGATCCACAACTGTCTCAGCTAGGTCAGGCCTGATGTGAAGACAACATTTATTCATCAGATTATTAGTCAAATAGCAAACTGGCAGGGTCCTGAGAACATTAAAGGAATAGTTTCGCATTTCGAACAATGTAATCCTTTGTTTTATTACCATGTGTTAGACAAGAAGATCAATGCAATGTTCATATCTGTATGGGGACTGAAAATGTGTAAAGAAATATCCTGGTCTTTTTTTTTTTTACATGTTTGTTTGTACAAGTTAAACAAATGTGTTGATTATGATGCCTTAGAGGTGCTGGGAGGCAGATTTAGTTTACCTTTGGCTGTTTCCAGTCTTTATCCTAAGCTTAGCCAATTGGCTACTGGCTTTAACTAGCCACATGTTTACCATACAGACATGAGAGTGGTATCAATCTTCCATCCTGCATTCTCAGGAAGAACGTGAATAACATATTATCCAAAAGATCTAAATATTCCTTTAAATCTTACAGTCAATCTGTACCTAAACTGGGGGATACTAAACATTTTTTATTTATTTTGATGTTACCTGTACACAAAGCGGACACCAGCTTCATTCTCAACCAGTTTCTCAGACACCTTCACCCCTCTGTAGTATACTGATATCCTGAACTGAGTCTCTACGGATTCAGAAAAATGAGAATTGTATGAGAAAATGTGAATAACAGATGATCTTTTAATTGTATTCCTGTATTTTAAAAAAGTAACTCAAATTGTAAACCATAAATATCAGTCATATTACCAAACCATATCTAAATGGCACTGAAAAAGACACTCACTTTGAATGTTTTAGAGGGATATTTTCAGTATGTGTGTAAAGTCCCCAATTCATCCATTGACTTACTGAAATTAGCTCCATCTCTGGTCTTGTTCATGGTATGTAGGAACTGCTCCACAAACTGCCCATCACAGACCCCTCCCACTGCTCCCTCCGTTGGATGTGCCGGTTGCTCAGGCAACCCAGCTTCACCGTCTGCACCCTCAAATGTTACTGGATGCTGCTGTTGCCCAGGCAACGGGTGTTCACCAATCACAACCTGGTGCTGGAGCTGCTGTTGCTCAGGAGGAGGCTCAAAGCCTGCGGTGTCCTCTGTGGAAAATTTGGAGAAACTGAAAAACTCTTTCTGGAAAAGTACACTGAACACTCCGTTTTTTGCTCATACTGCTGCAGTGAAGAGGAAATGATGAGCAGAGCCGGATTGTCTACCTGTTCCAGGGCCAATGTTCAATCCCCTTAGACAGTCCTGGAGAATATCGTGGTCGAGAGTGGGTTCGGCTGAAAACATTAATTGATTCAGAAATATTCAGACAGCGATTGCACATTACTATGAGATTTATGACCATTTATAATACATTAAAGTACTGTAAATTTCCCTTATAATATAAACAGGAGGAGCCAGAAGAAAGTAAAGAGTAAGCAAAATACCTAAAAATATAATTTCATCTGGAAGGTAGAGACAGTCTTCAAAATCTGGGATATCCTGGTTCTAAGATAGCACAGACACACATCTAAATGAGATCATACGCAGTTACATAATGACACAGAACTTCCATGGCATTTACATTTTACTTCCTGTGTCCCTACAAGTCAACTGCATAAACATAGCTGCTTACATCTTGTATAGGAAGACCCAGATCCTCAAAAAAATCAGGGTCATCTTTTTCCTTGGGTCCAGCAGAAGAGTTAGCTTTGAAAAAACAAAACAAAGAGCTCTACTTACTATCTTTTCATAATTTATGCTCCATCTCTTTAACCTTATAATCTCCTTTACAAGTGTTATAGATGTGCATGTGGTTCATTTGCATATTAAGATAGATAGAAGCCTGACCATTAGACAAGAAGGTATCAGATATGCACTGCATGTGGTCACACTGGTAAAAAAAAAAAGTGCTTTATCATATCAAATTCAAACATGACCCATATGGGAGCAGACATACTAAGCAGCATCTGTGGTGCACTTGCTATGTTACCTGTATTTATCTAATTTGCAATTAGTAACAGTATATGAGGAATCAACAGTTGCCTTGTTAATTAGACAGTGTACAGTAATATAATGGTGCATTAAGCATCACAACCGCCTCCCTTCCTGGGATTAATTAAGATACACAAGCTGAATAATTTTGCATGAATAAAACTGCAAGAGAAGTGGAATATGTGTTCGGATTTTGCAAGTGCTGAAGAACAAACTTTTCTGAATTATTTCCATGCCAGTGAATACATGCAGCATACACATATTTTAGGTCATTTTTAGCAGAGTGCATCAGAGGAAACTGTAAGTGTTCCACTGCAATAAAGGACCAAATGGTGATAGTCTACAGACACCGTGGTAGATCCTCACCTCCTGATGCTGGCTTATCTGGCCAGCGAAACACTTTGTGGGGATTAGCAGAGTCGTTTTTGTTGTCGCTGACCGTTACAAAGCCTTTGGCTCGGAGTGCGCTGCGGAAGTTCCTCTTCCAGACTGAGGGGTCTCCATGAGCCCGGCCATTGCCGCTTACCTCTGCCCAGGCCTACAGGGAAGAAACAGGTTGTAGACAGAAGGAAAAACACCATGTGAACAAAGATTTATTATGGATTCTTTATATTTTTACTGTCACTGCGGAGCAACATTAATACAAGGGATACCTTCTGTCAGGTACATGATTATTTTCATTTTATGACCGTTACCTTAAATATGAGGATGTCAGTGTCAGAGGAGTCCTGTCTCAAAGCATGTTTCCATGGGACAGAGAACTCTGTTTGCTCTGGGTTTGTCCAGTGGAGTCCAGGATACCTGCCGCTGTTAATCTGTTCCCTCAGCCATGGGATTAGCAGTGGTCTAGACATTACTGCAGGAGCAAAAAGAAGTATTGTGTCAACAGTGTCATCAGGACTCAGTTCAACATCCAAGATCACTTCTTGTTGCTAATTTGGTGTCATCCCCTTCGGGGCTGAGCTTGGTCACTTAATAATCACATGAGTCTCAAGTCATTGACAACAAAAAGTATTCATACATTCTGTAATATCTGAATAACATCATTGAATCTCAAACTCAAAACTTCAAACTTCAGTGCCCATACCAATCAATATTCTAGTCTTGTAACCACTGCTATCCAAAGTATCTTGTAATGAATACAAGAGTGAAAACCAGAAATCATTGAAAAGATTAAGGACTATGCAATGTTGTTGAAAGAATTATTCATTTTCTGTATTGAAATAAAGGTAGTGATAGCACACACAAGTGAACCAGGCTGACTGTTTTATCACCGTGATTATTCATATGCATTAGTATTTTTGTATTCTCTGTATTATTCAAATTATTTTGGGGGATTTTTCACGTCCATCTTAAAATAGACATTTTGCCTGCAGGGGGCGGTATTTAGTCATTTTATAAAAACGAATCGTGCTGAAATTATTTTAAGTATTAGTACAAGTAAAATGACTAAAGAAAGTAAACTGTTTCTTAAACTTTACCATTTTGAATTAATTGTTAAATATAAAGGATATCTAAAAGGTTCTCATGCTTATACAACGTATTAGAATGAGAACCTTTTCTTTTTATAGTTTCCCACTTCCACTAGACGTCGAGCAATCTAAAATACTATGGGATGAAAAGATATATAGTAGGCAACATTCAGGATGTTTGCATACTTATTCATAATTACATTAAAATGTGTTAAAGTATGAAAAGTTCTTATTTTAATGAATGCTCACAGTAACCTAAATGTTTTTGTAATGTAATGTAATGTTTTTTTGTGTTGCATGTAAAGAAGATGTTAAATAGGCTACAAATAAGGTGAGAATAAAAATCTAAAACACTATAATGAAATGTCCCTGACACTGATACTGATACTGGGCTGTAACGACTCAGTCGTTAATGGACATTGTTGGCCTTCTAAGGACTGAAACCACATCGAGGGGGATAAATATCTCCGGCTCAACACCAGTCAGTCAGAACTGATGAAGCCTCTTGGATGAGAGGTGAAACGTCTTCGATCTAGAATTCCAAGTCCAGTTGATTTCCAGGGTTATTTCGGTTGCGGTTTACTATGACCTGGATGACTAAGAATCTGCACAGATATGTCCCTGACACTGTGTATGACAAAGCTGGAAACCAGTTATATGAGCTACATATTTGTTCAAAGGCTTACAAACAATTTCACAGCAAAGCAGTGCTGCAGAGGTCTGACAGCTTGCAGCACTGGCAGCTCTGGTCACATTTCTCCTACCTGTTGTGAGGAGCCGGCGTAGGTGAGTGCTGAGTTCAACTACAGTCGTTTTCAGGGTTAGAAGTAGATGCTAACAATGCAGGATACTATGTGCAGGTTATGTTGAAGCTCTACGACGAACTGTCATTCAATCTCAGCTGTTATTTCCTTAAATACTACTAAATCCGACAGCGCTGTGGTCAGAAGTCTTTCTAAGGAAACTCCGTCTCGTCAGTTTCGTTTTCCAGATGTGACGTCACCAGAGGGATGAAGCCACGCCCCTCTTGCATACTCACTAATCTCCTGCACTCCCAGCCCCTCATTCAGCCAGTTTTAAGACATCAAACATGATACAGCTTTGAATAAAAGTTTGTCTAATGTGTGTTTTTTGTTTTTTTTTTGTTTTTTTGTTTGTTTTTTTTTACAAAAAAAAGCTCAGCATATACAAGCTGATCTATCTACTCCTAACACATCATAATAAATCCAAAAGCTGTAAATCAAACTATTTTAGTGTCAGAGGTTTAAATGCTGGATGTAATATATGTTCTTGTTTACTAAAAGTACGTTTCCTTTGTAGAAACTGTCCGATGTTTATGCTCTATTTTATGTGCAACTGAGAATGGAGAGACAAACTTTCCCTAAGCAGCAGATGAATGATGCAACAGCTTTCTGGTATCACTGCAGAAACAGAAAGTGAAAACAAGTGAGTTGTTCCTGAAAAGCCACACCAACTCAACATTTAATCCATCTCCTCTCTGTATAAAGCCTATGAATATTTAAGGACAAGTCAAAAAATGTTCACCCATAAGACCTGAAAAGCCTAAATGTCCTCACGAAAATGGTTCAATCACAACTGTAGAGAAATCAAACACCATTTGTTCTTTGCAGCTTTTATTTGTTTCTCAAATACAGGAGAGTTAATGTACAGAAGGACAAAGAATTTCATCAAGAACTGTACAATATTTACACGCCTCCACCCTCCTTTTAATGGAAAATTAGATTGTTTTCAAAATAAGTCAGTATGCACAAACATCAAAATGATAAAAATGAAATGACTATTTCCTCTTTAAATATTACTTATGTATACTCCTTCTTCCCACATGGAAAATGGATAGTTTACTTCTTTTTCTTTACACCTGCATGACTGATGATTGAACTGAAGCACAACAATGTGAAGTTTCAAATAGATTTCCCCCATCCACCCCCCATTTTTAAAATTATTTTACACCCACTATTTGATACAATATTTGTCTCAATGTCTGTTCTTTTGTATAGAGGGGACGATGACTTGGATATGTGGGTTACGATTGTATACTGAACCTGTGGAAAATAAAAAGGTATTTCAAATGTTACGGCAGCAACCCAGCGCTCGTGAGAGTTTAAGTTAAAAACCTCCTCATATAAATAATAAAAATGTTTATATATTATCACACAGCTGACTGGTGCTGCCCTTCACATAGCACAGGATGTGAGAGAGAGAGAGAGAGAGAGAGAGAGAGCATTCATTAACACATTTCATGTTTCTATCTGTGGACAAGTCCATGTTCACTCTGCTCACAGCACCACACTCTACACGGTTTAAAAAGCATTCTCCCCCTCTTCCACTCTTTTCAAAAGCCAACAGCTGATGTTAGTCTTTTCAAAAAAATAATTTATGTAAAAACTAAGTGGTAATAGTTTCTCTTTGAACTATTGTCTTTATGACACATGGTTAACACAATGTCAGTTGTTCCTCCCTTGTCTTGGCATCAGGACTCCTCCGTGTCCGTCCACCTCATCTCTCCCTTTTCACCGTCGCTCATTTCCCTCTTGACTCACAAGTGACCCCTGATCTGGCGGGGTCCCCTTGTCACAAAGTAAGACATTTCTTTAGTCACTGATCAATAACAAGAAAAAGAACATAGGCCATTGTCCGAGGTCACAACAACAGACCCCCTTGTGTTCGTCAAGGGCCTTAAAAATGTCCTCAGATCTCAGAGATCTGAAGAGGGTTGGAGGGAGGGGCTGTACAGTAGGATCTGTCTCTTTCTGTTTTCCATTGTTTTTTTGTTTGTTTGTTTTAAATCCTCCTGCTTTAATTAATTCTCTCCATCTCTGTCGTCAACTCAGGCTTTGGCACTGAGCGTGAGCAGCTCGATGAAGGAGCTGAAGAGGCTGTCCAGCCAACTCTGGTTAGCCATGCACTGCTGCACCACTTCCTCTTGGCCCGGATCCTCAGCTGCCTGCTCAATGGTGTTGGTCTGGAAAATTGGGATGGAGACGCAGACAATTGTGATGCTAAGAATCAAACCAGAGTCTTGTGCAAAAAAAAAAAAAGCATATACAAGCTGGCTCTGCGTAGTTCATTTCATGACATCTGTGCTTTACCATACAGGATATCTGACAAAGTGTACCTCCATGCTAAAGCATTACATTTTCAAGCATGGTTGTCATGATAAACCAAGCTCCAAATCAACAAAATCTCATCAATCAACATGTCTAACATGACTCAAGGGGTATACTAGCTTACCTCTTTCTTGCACTGTAAGAAGGTGTGGTATTTATAGTGATGGAGGGAGTGGTAGAGGCTGTAGAGCCGATACGACTCGGCTGACAGTTTGAGGTCCTAAAAGAAAGAAATCAAGACAAGAACTGTCCAATTTAACTAGCAACAATACACAAGAGTCTCCAACCCAAAACCAATATTAACCTCACAGTTCTTTGTGAAAATAGCCGAAGTGGAGCAGTTTAGAAACCTGCAGCAGGTGTTAGAGGGGAAACTCAAACCGTTTATTCTCACTGTCACCCACCCTGTGCTGCTGAGCTTTTTACAGTAATAGTTATATTTGTTGAGGCAGTGGTTACAGTGTTCATGTTTTATGCTCCTCCTGTTGCACGGTGCAAACATTTTCAGCAGCTTGTACTATTTTTGTGTGCTTTGTTTATCTCATCCAGAAATCAAAAAGAACCCCCTGGTGAGAGACCAAAACTTTCCTATGATGGTCCACGGCGGTTCTGTTAATGTATGAATATTTGAGAAGTAAACTTAAAAAAAAAAAGGAAGATATAACGCTAAAAGAACTCCCTGACAGGGACATTATGACTAATACATTTTCTTCAAAATGCAGCTGATGCAAATGCAGGCACCGAATGCTGACACACGTGCCCACCTGTGGTTTAGGCAGGGTCTTCTTGACTCTGTTGAGGGTCTTGCGATTGTAAGCATCCCCGCTTAGTCGCACCCTCACCACTCCTGAGTCCAAGGGGTCAACGATGATCTGAGAGTAAGCATGCAGGATCTCCTTTCAAGGAAGAGGCAGAAACAGCCAATGATCAGCATCTTGATAA